ACAGGCTGAGCCCAATCTGACAGCAAACAGCCAAGTTGAAGATGAAAGCCTTTGGCCTGAGGTCAGGGACAGCCAAACACAGCATTCAAAACCGGAGGATTGTATTTCTTTTAAACGCCAGACTATAAATAGGGCAAAACCCCAGGAAAATAGTTAGAGGCAACAATCATCACCTCCCTTGCAGTCCCTCCTGAACAACTCCCCCACTCCCACTGGAGCCTTTCAACACTTGCTAATTTTTTGTTTTTTAGAAACAGGATCTCACTCTGTTGCCCAGGCTAGAGTACAGTGGTGCCATCATAGCTCACTGCAACCTCAGATTCCTGGATTGACACTTAACAACTAATTTCTTTCCTCAACAATTCTCTATTACTGTGCCATCTGTAACCATCCCAAGGCTCTAGTAAAACTCTCAAAGCAATTTAATAAAACTCTGACCAGAGCGGTTACTAAGGCAGACTTCCTCTTTTAAGGGTTTTTTTTTTTTTTCTGCCCTAAACTTTTGAGTGGAACATAAATAAGAAACGAGCCATTAGGAAGGGATCTCTTCCATTTCCTCCCACAAATCCAACATATCCACTTTCTACTTCGGCAGTCCTAGACTCAAGAACTCAAGCTCAGAACTAACATGCTAAGGCCTCCAAGATCCTCAAAAGATCTATTGTGCTCCCTTCACTTACAAAGGCAGTTAAGTGGACCAGTGCATTTCACAGTTTCCAACCAGGCTTGAAACAAAGGAGGTGTTCACGTTAACCCTCAACTCTCCCCTGATATTCAGTGTACCCCACATTTAATTTCATCACATACACCATAGTTTTATCTTTCAAATTCGGGGAGGACTTGTGTTAATAACCAAATGTCAGAACCTCAAAATTGGAATCAGACTTACTACTGTAGACTGGAGTATGCACAGTCCAAAGGGTCTAGCAAATGAAAGGAGTACTCATGCAAAACCCTAAGATACAATAATGCACTTTGGCACTTAGGAAGGAAGGAGTCCAGTGGGATCCAAGAGGCTTCCAGGAATGGGTCAGCTATGTGAGAAGTCTCAGAAAACCCAGAGCAAAGAGCAGGATCTTGAGTGAACCCCAGGAGACCCCACCCACAGGAGACATGGGACTCTCCAGAGCACAGCAAAAAGCCCACAGTCTCCCTCCCAAACTGGGACAAGGCGCAATTCCCCATCCTTTTAGGACCCTCTTCATTACTCTCCCCCTTTTCCTAGGTAGGTCTTTCTAATTCCAAGACCTCACTCTGGCTTGAGGTCTTTCTATGAGAGCCCCCTTGAATCTTCAGGCTGGACAGGGGGCCCCTCATTGAGAGGACCTCCCGAATGCCTCTGTTGTGGTCCACACTGGTTGTCTTGTTCCCAGTGCATTTATTTATCTTTCTCCCTGGCAGTTCTGAGCCCAGCCGAATTCTCTGTATCCCTGGAGTCCTGTCCAGTGCCTGGCACGTAGTGGGTGCTTAATATGCATGTAAATGCTTGCTTTGAAATATGAGGCTTGAAACATATGAGGCTTGAAACCTGACTGTGCTCTGTGTGACCCTTGGCAAGTTACATCTTCTTGCCTCATTTTCCTCATTCATGGGGTGGTCTTCAAAATTAAATTAAAACTAGGGTTTATGTGAAGTACTTAATCCAAGTGTCTGGCACTTGGTGAGCTCTCAAACCCTCCTGTTTATGATCACTGCATATCAGAGGCAGAAGGTTGAGAAGGGCTGTCATTCCTCCTCTTCAACCCAATCCTCTGGGGGTTTTTTGGTGTGGAGGAAGGAGGTTCCAAAATGAGGAACCTCCCTCCAATTCAGTAATGGAGAAGGTGCTGGATGGACCAGGCAACAACACAGGAGGTGCTGGCATGTCATTCACTGCCTTTGTAGGGGAAATAGAAAATAGAATTTCCCAGCAGACCCCAGCCTAGCCAAGCCAATTTACTAAGCTCACTTACAGAGCTATATTCAGCATTTCTACGTGCCAAAGAGGGAGGGTAAAGGTATAGCACTGGTGCAGGCTCCTAAGGCAGACCCTCAGGTCTCTCCCCAAACTGCTGTGCTTCCTGCTGTTGTCACTACGGCCACTTTTACTCCTCTTGGCTTCAGCGACCTTATGAATACATGAGGTCACTGTAAAGAGCATCTAAAATAAGGCAGGTAGATAAAGCACTTAGCTAGTTGCCTTGCTTGATGAGTGCTTAATAAATACTAAGGTCAGGAGACCTGCTCACTCACTACATTCATCTTGCCTAAAGTTTCTAATTTACTGGAGACGCGCCAAACCCTCATAACTGCAGGTGAGGAAAGGGAGGCAAAGTTAAGTTAAATGGTTTGACGAGTAAATGGCCAGCCAGACGGCAAAACCAGCCTGCACCATAAAATGAGGATAATACCATTTGCGATGCCCAACACAAGAGCAGTAGTGCTGCCAATGCTAACTTCCCTCAGGGGAGTCTGCAATTTAGGAAGAGGCTGGGAGAACAGGTCACCAAAAATCTTGTTTGAGAGAAAAGGGGTCAAGATGGTTCTGAAGGCAGGAAAGAAGGCAACCACGTGGCTCCAGGTTGGCAGGGGCATGAAGCACTTCAAAGTCCGCTGCACCTCAGTTCAACTGCACCACGGGTGGGAGGAAGCAACTGACAACTCCAGTAGTATTTTTCTTTCTTTTCTTGGGACAGAGTCTCAAGATGTCACCCTGGCTAGAGTGCTGTAGTGTCACAGCTCACAGTAATCTCCAACTCTTGGGCTCAGCTTTTCTATTTTTAGTAGAGATAGGGTCTCATTTTTGCTCAGGCTGGTCTCATACTCGTGAGCTCAAGTTATCCACCTGCCTCAGCCTCCCTGAGTGCTAGAATTATAGGAGTGAGCCACCATGCCCAGCCTCTAATATTATTTCTAAAGAAAGGTGCGTTGATGTCCTTTTATCTACATTTAAAAGCACACACATCATTTCCAGTGTTAAAACAATACCCAGGCCCAGCATAGTGGCTCACGCCTGTAATCCTAGCAATATGGGAGGTCAAGGTGGGTGAATTGCCTGAGCTCACTAGTTGAGACCAGCCTGAGCCAGAGTAAGACCTAGTCTCTAAAAATAGCCAGGAGTTGTGGAGGGTACTTGTAGTCCCAGCTATTTGGGAGGCTGAGGCAAGAGAATCACTTAAGCCCAAGAGTTTGAGGTTGCTGTGAGCTGTGACGCCATGGAACTCTACCGAGGGTGACTGTCTCAAAAAAAAAAAAAAAATCCAAACCAGAGAGTACCCACCTCTTTTCCAAAAATCCTCACCCAGTCCCTGCTCCCATCCCAGGAAGTCCTAGCTAGGGGCTCCTTTATGATTACAATGTGACTCAGAACCAGCAAAAATACAGAACCCCAGGTGGAAAATGCCCAAGCAGCCAGATGCGAAAGAAGATTTTTGAGTTTTCATTTTTCCTTAAACCAATTTCCTGAGGCCTAAGGCAGTGCCTCAAGTCACAGATCAGAAGCAGAGCCAGGCAGATTTCAGCAGATTAGAACTGACGCCAGCAAACGCTTCCATTGGTCCATTTTCATTTCTTGGGTTTTTCCGACAAAGGGAGGGGACTGAGCCCAGTTGGGGATGGTTTAAAGGTTTTTTTGGCTGGGGTCGGGGACATGGCTGTCCTTGTTCAAGAACTTATCTGTAATGGTCTCCAAATCAGACTAGAGACTGATGCCCAAATTTGAGGCCCCAACACTTTTCTAAAATTACCTGCCCACTTTTGAGGGACAGGGGTAACTGCTGACAGATTCAGCAGGACCTCAAAAGAGGCATTTTGATTTTTCAAATACCTTAAGGAAGTTGTCTAGCCTCCAAAACTACCACCACCAGCTGCACACGGCTGCCTAACCCTGGACCACCCCCCTTTCCCTTCTCCTTGTGTTTTGAAGTTTATTTTCCCACATTCAGCCTTGAATTCTTTCCTTCCTTCCCCTGCAGTGGTGGAGCAACAGCTCAGAGGGAAACACTTGGAGGGCAGCTCAAGGCTTTATCATTCCTGCCTGCCCTCTTCCCCCTCTAAACAAAGCTGGGGAGCAAACTAAACAAAAACTTGTTCTCCAGAGGAATTGTTTCCTCAAGGGAAATCATAAAGTGACGTCCCCCACAACACACACACACCAGCGTGGACACCCACCAGAAGGCAGCAGATCATCCCAGAACTCCTGCTATTACTGAGGGCTATGCCAACCATTTACCTTCTGAAGCTCACCCTCCCCAGACCCACCTCCTCACCTGCACTCACCTGGGAAACTGCTATAGGACAGGAGACTCTCCACTAAAATCCATCACCCAGCCCTTGCTGCACTAAACCTCCCCTTAGAGGACAATGCTTTGTGTGCCTGGCTGCCAAGAAACACCTATATGTTCAACTCTGGGGATGTCCATAGATCTGGGGACAAAAAGGGGTGTTACTACTGGCAAGATGTCTTCATGTCTTCCAAATACTTTCAACCTTACAACAGTCCCGGGCAGAAAAGTTGGATGAAGATGGTTTTGTTCCCATTTCTCATATGGGGAAACTGAGGTTGGAAAATGAGAGACAACTGGATAGTCATAAAGTATTGGAGAGCTGCTATGGATTAAACATTATTCCTCATCAGACCTCCTTTCTGCTGTCTCTCACCCCACGAGCAACATAACACCTTGGACAGTCTACTCTTACTTCCCCCCTGCAATCTAGGACTTTTAACTCAGGTCCAGGTCATTCTACAGGGGGTTGGGGAGGTGGGAATGCAGGCGGAGAAGGGTAGCTGATTTAAGCTGAGCCTTTGAGAACCTGAGATAGAAGCCCTCAGTCCCCAAACTGGCCCAAAGTCTCAGCCAGGATGGTCAGTTCCAGTTACCCGAGTGAGGTCAACGCCATCCACAGGGCATGGGCACCTGCAGTCTGAAAATAAGCAACTCCTACTATTCACCGCACCGCACAGGCTCCCCTTTCTTATTAAAAGAGGACTACCCAGGCTTGTCGTTTGTGCTACCTGTTACCTTCACAAAGTTTAATTCCAAGACCTTGAGGATGTCTGCTCAAGATAAGCCTTCCCGGAAGCCTGAGAGCGTCCCCAGCGTTCCAGCCACCAGCCCTCATCTCATGGGTTCAGGCCGACAGAGTCTAACCCCTCTCCGGGGCCGTGCTAGGGTGGAGAAATTCTGCCCAGGTTTAGGCCAGGGGACCCTCCCGCAGCTCTGCCGGGTTCATGCTCTTAAAAAAAAAAAGTCGGGCGGGCGCGGCACTGCCCCAGGAACACAGAGGTGGAGACGCGAGGGGGTGGCACCCGGCTCAGCTCCCGGACTCCGGGAGCGTCTCCAAGGAAAGATAAACGCCTTTATCCACCCCACAGCCTCCTTCCAAGAGGGAGGTACCCGCACACCAAGCCACCGAGGGGCCCAGTTTACCATGGAATTCAACTCCAAGTTCCTCCAGGCAAACTAGGTTCCGGTGAGTTTCTGCGCATGGGGAGACCCCTATGCCCCTTGGGTGAGGGACAGACGGTCAAAGCCTGATCTGTGATGGAACTTCCTCTCCCGTCAACCCAGAACCTTTCACGGAAACTGAGAGTCGTCAAAAACATTGAGGGTCTTCCCTTCAGCACCCCAAAAGCTCTAGCCAGCATCAGGTGTACGTGGGTACAGGAGGCGGCTCACCTGCAGGATCTTGTCCAGACCCTCCTGGCTCAGGCACGGGAACTCCTTGAGCAGATGCAGCTTTTGTGTGTAGTAATTTTTCTTGGCTTCCTTCCAGTGCGGCTCCTCGAGCACTTCGAAGATCGCCGCCCCGATGGCCAGGTAGAAAATGATGGCCGAGGTGAGCAGGGGACCTCGGTCCACCATGGCTCCGGAGCGGCCGCCGCCTAGAGAAAGCCCCCGCTAGCCCCAGCTGCTCCGGGTCGCCAGCCCTCGAGCCCCTGGAAACAGCTGTTTGAATTTGGAGCTCCGCATGCGCAGTGCCCCGTCCCCCCGAAGCGCAGCTCTCTGGACAAAGTTGCTAAGCCAAGTTGGCGCACTGAGCGCAGGGAACTGCGTGGAGCTCTGCTCATGCGGGCCGGGGTGGGCGAACACCAAGGGGGCCGAGGGGCGTAAGGAGCGGGAGGAACACGGGAATTGACTCTCGGGAGACACGTGGGCAGCTCCTCCGCGCGCCGGCAGAACAGTGCGCCGCGCCCGCCTCCGCGCGCCTCTTTAACCGGCACACAGCCCGCTTTCGACCCCGGCGGGGGCGGGGTCCACTCAAGACACGCCCACTCCAGCCCGGCCCCCCAGCCCGGCCCCCCAGCCCGGCCCCGCCCCGGGCGCGGGAGTTAGCGTGAGGCGAGGTGTGCGCTGGACTGAGCTCAGTGTTCTTTTGGTTTCTGGGGCCGGTCGCCCGGGGGCGCTGCACGGCCCTCGACCGTCACGGGGTTGCAGTCTCTGGACTTCGCATTTGTTATAAGTGGTGGTGTTTCAGCTATTGTGCACCTTATGACTGAAGTCAGGAATTTATTGCTATTGTCATTGTTATTGTAATTCAATTTTTATTTACTGATATTTCTTCCAAGAAAGCTTGATTCTCAGTCCCTTCCTGTCTCTCCTTCAGACGCCTTCCTGTAAGCTTGGGCAATGGGAGTTAGAACAGGGCTGAAGAAGCCCTAGGGGATCAGAGGATATCAGCGACTAACCCAGGCACAAATGCATGGTTCCTCCCTCTTGTCCTATTTTTCACCTGTCCTAGTGAGACCCCCTACAACCTGTCGGTATCTGGAAGGAGCAGGCAGCACTGCTTTGACTCCTTCCCCCAACCCCACTTTGTAACTGTAGAAAACACTTGACCTCCTACGTACTCAGAACCCTACTTAAAATAGCAAATTGCCCCTTCATCCTTAGCTGGTTGGCTTTATCTTCTTCCTAGCACTAAATTTCATCTACCTTTAGTATATAACTTTATTTCTTTTGTTTACTATGTAACCACCCCCCCCACACACACACACTGAAATGTCTGCTGGAGAGAGGGAGAATCTCGTTTGTGCAATGATGTATTCACAGTGCCTATGATATAGTAGACACTCAATAAACACGTTCAGTGAAAGGGTGAATAAATTTGTCAAGAACACATGTGCAGGATAATTTACACTCATTTGCTGGGATTCTGTAAACATGCATCGTAAGCAGGGCTGATCATTAGACTGACTTTGTAGTGAGGAAACTGAAGCTCAAGAGGGTTAGTTTTTCCTTTACAGACTCACGTGTCTGCCTAGAGAAGACCAGAGCAGGAAGCTAGAGGAGGCCCAGATTTCCTCATTCTGCATCCCTGAAGCCTTCAGTGGCAGTCCCCTCCAGACCCTCCTGGGCAAAGATCACCCTTGATAAGGTCTTGGGTGGCTCCTCTGTTGACAAGCCACTCCCCAGCACCAGGCCCCCTCACCTACGGAAGAGATCCCTCTCCTCTAACCCTTGCTACTCCTACCCACCCTGAACCCCAGGCTGTGGCCTGAACCCCAACTCTGCATTCTCACTCTCCAGCTCTCAGCTGGATACAGAGACCAAGCTTCTGTCCTGGATCCCCCTCTCTGGATGCAGCACAGCCCTCTGTGAGAAAGCCAGGGGCTGCAGTGTGAACGCTTCAGCCAGCATGGGGTGGGGACAGTTTGAGAGACCACAGGCTCTCTTTGTTTAGAGAATTCTCCACCATTCCTCTCCCACCTCCGGTCTGTGTTCTATTCCTAAGAAAATAAAGGGCCTCTTCCTATTTCGGTCTCCCTGCTTCATGAAAACACTGAATACTTTGGGAAGAATTGATTTTTATTCGAAGCTTTTATAACCCCCTGTTTCTGTGTCCTACCTCTTTGTTTCTTCATTTCCTGTGCCCCTTTTCTTTCTAGCTCTCTGTGTTGTGCTTACTACTCTCATCCTCTCCTTCTCTTGCCCCATCCCTTCCTTTCCTGTATTTTCCTAAACTGCTTTCCCTCGCTCTCCATTCTCCCTCCTCCAGCCTCTTGGTCCTCTCCTTTGTCTCCTGCCCTATAGAATGTGCTTCTCCTTTTCCAGCCTCCCCTCCCCCATGTGCCCCCCTCTCTGGCCCCAGCCTCACTGTTGAATCTACACTTTCCCAAGGTTATCTGGACCACAAGACAAAGGCACATGCTGTGCCCATTCTCAGCATGGCAGCCAGTGGGGGCTTCTGTGAATGAAATTGTGCATTTAGACAACTTGAAAAGGGTAAAGTGTGTACTATATTCAGGTACAGATGGGTGGGGTATGTTTTTTCCTAAGCGCTCCTGAACAAATCCATTCCAATAGTTTATGTGTGTTTCTTACTATTATGCTCATCGTCATGGCTGATTATTATTCAGAATGCTATTTTAAAAAAACAATCAGCTTTGACAATGGAGTTGAGTTTCACCTTGACAGCAACAGATAATTAGATTTACCTGAGTCTCACCTGGAGAAATTGGCAGAGCAGATCACTTGTTTTGGTCAAGGTCAAGCTCCTAGGGTCTGGCCACAAAAGCATCCACACCCAGTTGTGTTTCTTCCTTATTTCAGTTAGGTGAAGGGATTATCCTTTCAGTAAAATGAACACAATAATGCTTTCATAATATTAAAACATTGTTACTGTTTTATTTCTGTTCGTATTGTTTTATATTCTGCTTTGGAATTTCAGAGAGGGATAGTTGCCCTCAGCAAATTGCTTCTGATCAAAGAAGTAAAAAGCCATTAAGAGCAAAAAGTGGTTCAATATCACAATCACTTGAAAACCTTATTTCCTTAAATAAAAAGCTTTATAGCTCTCAACTAAAAAAGGTCAAAACAGTTCTATTTTTTTTCTTCTTGTCATATTGCTTAAAAGACAAATGATACTAAGTGCCTTATAAAATAGCTTGCATTGTGGAAGATTATCAATTATTTTATAAACTTGCTTTATTTCTGAGGGGACCATTTGGAAACCGAGAGGAAATATCTATTAGATGTTTATGTCTTAAAATCCTCACTTCTTCAGTTAGAAAGGTTTCAATGTACATGACACGATAACCTTCATGTTTTATACGCAGTAGCAGGAAAATCATCACAGAACAAAATAAAATCACAGAGCAACAAAGATGTTTAGAAGAAGTAGTGAAAATGATATACACATATAATGGAATATTACCCAGCCATAAAAAATCAAAAGAAAATCCTGTCACACGCAACAGTATAGATGAACCTGGGGGACAGTAAAACAAGAGAAATAAGCTGGTCATGAAAACACAAATGTGGCACGATTCCACTTATGAGGTATCTAAAGTAGACTCTTAGAAACAGAATGAATGGTGGTTTCATGGTCTGGGGAGGGGGGAGGAGAAAAGGGGAGGAGTTCAGCAAATATAAAATTTCAGTTTTGCAAGATAAAAAAATTCTCAAGATTATGGCCGGGCTCACGCCTATAATCCTAGCACTGGGGAGGCCGAGGTGGGTGGATTGCCTGAGCTCAGGAGTCGGAGACCAGCCTGAGCAAGAGCAAGACCTCCTCTCTAAAAATAGCTGGACATTGTGGTGGGCGCCTGTAGTCCCAACTACTGAGGCAAGAGAATCGCTTGAGCCCAAGAGTTTGAGGTTGCTGTGAGCTATGACACCACAGCACTCTACTGAGGGCAACAAAGTGAGACTCTGTCTCAAAAACAAAAACAGTTCTGAAGAGCTGTTGCAAAACAATGTGCATGTATATACCACTACTGTTACTGCATGCTCAAAAATGGTGAAAATGGTACATTTTTTGTTACCACAATAAACAAAAGTAGTGACAAATAGAACTTGTAAATTCAACATAAGATGTTGAAAGTTGCGAGAATAAGCTGGGCATTGAGGAGAGAGATGTGGCGAAGTGAGGATAATTAAGTTAGGTAAGAGTTCCTTGGCAGAGTTCCAGTTACTCTTGATAGCAAAGCTACATGGCCTTTGCTCTGAGAGCCAGTTAAGCTATCAAGAAACATGTCCTTGGAGGTTAAGAGCAGAACTCAAGCACCAATTCCAAATTATTTGCATTTGAAGATTTCAGATACGTCTCTATTGCCATTACAAAGTCTTTTCCTTAAAAAGGGAACATAGCATTATCAGAATTTCATTGCTGTTTGGCGACACTTACAATTTTTATTGCTAGGAAAAATAACTCAGTAACAAGAGAGGCCCCCACTCTGACCAATTCAGAGGTCGCCCTAAAACTGTTCCTTAGACTGGGTCATTTTGGGAGCAACACAGCAGGGTGTGATTTATGGGACCCACTCCTAAACCTTCTTCATCTTTTTCCCTAACCGTAATTGATTCCTTAAATTCCACCATTTGAGAACCACTCCTGTGTGTCAAACATTGGTCCTCCCTAACCAAAGACCTCTTTTCAAACACCAGAAGGACTTTTGCATTAAAACTCTAACACTACTTTTATGGATCCCGGCCTTTCCCCCTCCTTTTTTTCTTTTTGTCACCGTGAGTAGAGTGCTGGGATGTTAAAGCTCACAGCAATTTCAAATTTTGGGCTCATGGATCCTCTTGTCTCAGTCTCTGGAGTAGCCTGGACTACAGACGCATGACACAATGCTGGGCTAGTTTATCTACTTTTAGTAGAGATGGGGGTCTTACTCTTGCTCAGGCTGGTCTTGAACTCCTGAGCTCAAGCAATCCATC